GAAAGAGCATCTTTGGCTGAAGACAAAGGGTAAAAGTGATTTAACTGCAGCACCTGGATTTGTACTAGAAGATGGAGACCCCTGACCTATGGAAAATAAGCTGGGTGGATTTTTGATCAATGTTCTTAGAAGCTCTTCTGTTAAATGACACCAAATCTGGATTATTAACCATGACACGCACATCTAATGTGACCATAACTTGAGAAACGGAGCAGACTTTGAAGTGCTCAGTTATAGTGCTTTTAACTCGAAAACCTTTTTAGACCTGATATGGAATGGGTATGTCACCTTGTTAAGAAGGAAGGGTTGGTCTGACAGGGTTGATGAAGAAAACAAATATCAAGAAAAAGACTTTATTTTTCAGTAAGATGTTTTCAGTTATGCAGAAACTGAAGGATGAGCAAGCTGTGGTAAGAGGTAGGAATGATTGGATTGAAGAGGGCGGACAGCCTAAGCTATCTCTGCTCCATGAGAAAACTTATCCTGTGTTGATACTTAAGACTTCTCACTTTAATTGGAATTTCTTACCGTGACTTTGTGAATGTTTGACACCTTCACATTTCCTGTAGCTGTTTAAAAGGTGAATGTTGGGTTTTCTGCTTGTTTGTTCCAGTTGGTAGCTTGGGAAATACTTGGTGTTAGATTTCTGAATGGCCTTGGGTAAAGCCTGTATTAATAGGACAGATAACGGGTAAATGAGTTTCCTAGGTGTGGCCAAAATGTGAATGACATGGCTGGCTCACAGTTGTTTTGGCAGAAGGAACAGAGACACAGATGTGGTTTGGATAGCGGGGAAAGGAGGAGATGTGGAGCAAGTGAGAGGAAGAGAGGGGGACGATGCTGTGGTTGAGAAGGTGGAGTGGAAAGACCTTTAGAAAAATGGATGGAGAGCTTGACCTTAATACTACATTTTAGACTTATGGCACCTACATGATTGCAGTTGTTCAAAGTACAGAAGGGTAATCCTACCTGGCTTACTTTTTTATAGAATATGCATAAGATGAAGGCAGTTCATCTCAGCCAAATACCACAATGGGATCTCTGTGGCTTACAGTGAGCATACAGGCTTTGCGAATCATGAGCTAATCCACTTCAGAAATACAAAGAACTGGATTTATTGGATGCATGTTTTGAGTGGATCATCTTAATGGATCACAGTTACTTTGCCTTTTTTTGGAGACTAGTGAGGCCAAGTTTGCAGTTTTTGCAAGGTTGTGAATTGAGTCACTTGATGGGATCTATTTACTGCTTTTCGATTGCAGAACTGCAAGAAGCAAGCAGTATGTGAATTTGAATATCTGGTAGGTTGGATTTTGTTCAAACTAGAAGCTGTGCTGCATGTAGGCATTATGCTTGTCCAGATGTTCAAAAGGTGGTAGCAGATGTTTCGCGTAACTTCAGGTCTGTTTGGTCAGACTACAGTGGTGTTATGTTCTATAGCAAGATAGCTTGGGGGGAGGGGGGATAATTAGAGGGTGTAGTTTATGCCAAATTAATCTGATAAACATCTTATATAATTTATTTTTGGAGTAGAGAAATGAGTAGATCCTAATCTCCTTGATGTTCAATGAGATAGCAGAAGTTGAATTGTGAGGTTGGATGGAGCAGAATCAGGTAAAAGGGGAGGTAACTGCAACTGGGGACGGGTTGCTTGTAAGACCTCCTGAGGGATGGCTTTAGCATACCTCTGCAGTTAATGTTTGTGTCAAGGACCTTGGAGGATGAATGTGTAGATAAAATTTGCTGAACCAACAGAGTAAGAAATCATGGAAAATTTGGAATATTTTACAG